ACGAGGACCGCAAGCACCAGCTACAGGAACGATACGGATCGGAAAAGAGAAAGGAGATGGGGTTCACAGAGGCGCATACATAGTGGGGATTAGAATGGGTTGGAAACAGCATTTAGTGCTGCGATGATCGTCCTTTGGTGCAGGGTTAGAACACATGGTGGGACCTTGGGAAGCGGGGAGTCGAGTTGTTGATATTGAACAATGAATCAAGCACTTTTAAATTGAGCATCATAAAAGGTGAAATTGTAATTTAAAGAACATAACGAGAAAGTGTGAAGGTAAGTGAAGTGAAGTTATCGCACAAGTCGGGTGGATAAATGGATAAGCAAAAAGTCCGCCTTCACCTCCGCTCCGCCTTGGACTTGGACCTTATCCTCCTAGCTTCTCACATCAAAGCTTTGTGCTTTGTTTCTCTTATCTTTTCTTTTCCCCCAATGTGGCATTCACGTCACTTATGCGCTTTCCTCTCGGACATTCAGAAAGGACCCCACGATTGAGCCTGTGTGACACACAGCCATGGATCGCCAACGTAAAAGTATCTATCACAACCTCACCTTGGAGATCTTTACTGATAGTGTATTTTTAGGGGAGCTTCGTGACCTGAACGAGCGAGCCTGGGCAGGCGAATCTGGTAAGATCTCATCTGACTCCCATTTATGACGAAACAGCCCACCTTCGTGATTCTAATGACTTGCCAGATGTATTCTCCACTAGCAAGTCCCTTGACTCGGCGCTCAAAAAGAATACCGCATTTATCAAACGTCTACGAACTGGCATTAGTGCCTCCGCCCTTTCCACTTTCCTCGCCGATATTCGCACCCTCTCGCTCCACAAGTACCTTTCCGAGATCATTTCCGCCTGCTACGAAGGCCTCTGCAAGCTCAAATCCCCCGGAGAAATTGCCGCTGGAGTAGAGGTTGTGAGTGCGCTGCACCAGCGCTTCGGACCCTGGGAATTTACACGGCAGATTGGTTGGCTGCTCGGCCGCGGACTGAGCACACCCGATAAAGCGCAGCTCAAGGCGCTCAGCCAGGAGATCCGCGAACGCGAAGAGAAGGACCGTCTGTCTCGGCACCGTGTTCTTCTTCGCGTTGTTACGGAGCTTTGGCTGGTCAATGTGCTGAAGACTCTCGATGACGTCGAACGACCCGAGGAACTGGGTGCGAAGGGCAAGGAGGGAGCAGTTGGAATTGGGAAGCCGTCCGATGCCCCGCTGAAAGCCAAGACCCCCGCCGCGAAGGATCAGGACAAACAGGCTGATCCGTTCCCATTGGAGGTTCTGAAGGAATTGCTCGGCCACGACCGTGATCACACGAACCTGCCTCTTGCAGTCTTGTTTGTGAAGAGTTTCAGCTGGGATATCATCGGCTCGAAGCTTGCTGAAGAAGGCAGGAAAACTGTTGAGGCGGATGGCGCTACGATTTCTGGCGCCGATGCGCAGAATACGGAGACCAATGGGGCTGCCCACCCGGAGACCGATTTACCCCTGATTCCAGAGAAAGTCCAGCAGCGGTTTAGAAACATCTTGAACCGCTATCTTGAAGATGTCAAGGCTCACGTGGTTCGAGACCAGAGAGCGCTGGCACAGCAAAACCGCCGTAATGCTGAGGCGTACGTCAAGAGTGGCGAGATCTTCGAGGACCGCCAGGCCAATTTCGAGAAGCAGTCCAAGGTCCTGGAGAAGCTCGTGGCCAATACTCAGGTGCTGTGCGAGGCCTTGGGAACCGAAATGCCCGATTTAGCCGAGAAGGAACCTACCGATGCTTCTGCTAGTGGTGGCATCGGCCTTGTGAAGACCACGGATTACCTACGAGGCCAAGGTGAAGGTGCCGGGATTTGGGAAGACGAGGAGGAAAGACGCTTCTACGAGAATCTGGTCGATCTGAAGGGCAAGGTGCCTGCGGTCTTGCTCGAGGACGGCAAAAAGAAGAAGGGCGAAGGCGAGGAGTCTGGTAAAAAGAAGCCAGATGGCGAAACCGCTGACTCCACCGAGCCTTCGGACGAGAAAGCTGCTGCGGAGGCAGATGACCAGTCCACTGCCATTGCCAGCAAGACTGTGGGTGCGCAGGTGGACTCTCTCCTTGCCAAGCTTCCCGAATTGCAAACAAAAGATCAAGTCGACCAGTTTGCTCTTGATTTCTGCTGGGTCAACTCTAAAGCATCACGAAACAGGCTAGTCAAAGCTGTATCGGATATCCCCAAGGGCCGCATTGATCTTCTACCTCTGTATTCTCGCTTGGTAGCAACGCTTGGACAGTACCTGCCAGATATTCCACAGGGACTGACCACGTACCTTGATGAAGAGTTCCGAAGCCTGCAGCGGCGCAAGTCCAAGGAATTCCTCGGTCAAGTACGTATGAGCAATGTTCGCTACCTAGCTGAATTGACCAAATTCGGTGTCGTTCCGGAGCATATTATCTTCCATTGTTTCAAGGTTTCGCTTGACGAATTTTCGCGCATGAACATTGAAATTATCGGTCATTTGCTGGAGAACTGCGGTCGTTACCTTCTGCGGAACCCCGATTCATCACCCCGGATGGCTTCTTTCCTCGAGACCTTGAGTCGCAAGAAGACCGTGCAACATCTAGCACAGCAGGAGCGGATGGTTATCGAAAATGCCATCTACTATGTTGACCCGCCACCACGTCCAGCGATCCAGCAGAAGGAACGTACACCCATGGAACTGTACATCCGCCGGCTAATCTACCTGGATATGAACAAGCGGAATTACACCAAGATTTTGAAATCCATCCGCAAACTTCACTGGGAGGAGCCAGAGGTCGTTGAAATTCTGGAACGTGTGTTTAGCAAACCGGTTAAAGTGAAATACGGCAGCATTCACCTTTTAGCGATTCTTGTCAGTGCTTTGTACCGGTACCACCAGGATTTCGTGATTGGCATCGTCGACAATGTCCTGGAGCAGGTTACGCTTGGCCTCGAGCAGAACGATTTCAAGTTTAACCAAAAGCGCATTGCGGAAATTAAATACCTAGGTGAGCTCTACAACTACAAGATGATCGATTCTCCCGTGATATTCGATACGCTGTACCGAATCATCACATTCGGCCACGAGGGTGGTACCCCGGCCCCTGGAAAGATCAGTATGCTGGACTTGCCGGACGACTACTTCCGCTTGCGTTTGGCATGTACTCTTCTTGATACCTGTGGCCATTGCTTCGACCGTGGCTCGGCCAAGAAGAAGCTGGATTTCTTCCTTGCTTTCTTCCAGTACTACTTATTTACCAAGGATCCGTTGCCCATGGATGTCGACTTCCTTGTCCAGGATACGTACCACTCTATCCGCCCCCAGTGGAAGCTTGCTACCGAGAGCGAAGAAGCGACCCGGATTTTCAGCGAAGCCGTTGCTCTGAACTACAACGTCCAAGATTCCGAGAGACCCGTCGAAGCCGATGAAGAAGATGCGGAGAGTAGCTCTTCTGATGAGGATCTTGAGGAGGATGCTATCCCCGAAATAGACGATGACCAGGAATCCAGCGATGAGGCCGAAGTAGGTCCCCCATCTCGTCTCCATTTAGTACGACCCATTAACCCGTTTAACCCGTCGAAGGCGTCCGGACCCAACCAGGAGGTAAATGACGATAGCGATAGCGAGTCCGAAGACGAACAAATCATTGTTACCAGACAGGAAGAGGAGCGAGACCCAGTAACCGAGGCTGAATTTGATCGAGAATTCGAGAAGATGATGGCCGAGAGTATGGACTCACGACGGTTCGAACGCAAGACCGTCTTTGACATCCCTCTTCCCATGAAACGCCCCCGTGAAAACTTGCCCAGCGATTCCAGCCCTGAGCCAGTCCCGGCAGAACCAGTTGCGCCCAAGACAATGGCATTCTCTCTGATGACAAAGAAGGGAAATAAACAACAGGTAGTACTTTTTATCCACATCCGCAATATTTAGCAAATTACTAAACATATCTAGACACGCACCATCGATCTCCCGTCGGACTCGACCTTTGCTATTGCCATGCGGAGCCAGCAACAAGCCGACCGGGAAGAACAGCAGCGTATCAAGAATCTGGTCCTGAACTATGAGGCGTCGACCGAACCCGAACCCACCGAGTGTGAGCAATATCTCCTGGTTAACCGGAAGAACTTCCAACTGAGATATTCCCCAGCAGCAACCCAGGAAAAGCGCACCCCCACCAGCCAGCGAACGGACAAAGCTGGCGCAAACCGATCCGCCTTCCGTTCCCGCAAGCTCCAGCTTAGCGACGTCAATTGGTAATGAATGCTGCTACTATCTGGACCGAGGTCCATATTCCATATCTTCACTTGAAACAGCAGCCAGCGCCTTTCCCTTGTGGAAGATTGCCATCCCACCATGGAACAATCCGTCTCTGCACTGCCTAGTGTGAAAAAACTCTTGGTTCAACCCAATGGGCTTATTCATGGCATACGTCGCGCATGCGTGTATGCAATGCTGTATGAGTATGACTAGGAATCCGTTCTCGCTAATGGAGTCTACCCTGTCGCGAATGCCATCGAAATGGATGCACTCCTGTTGCTGTCCAGGATCCCTTTATCACTTTCCCATGACTGGCGAGTTCCTGAGATGGTGGAGTGCTCGCCATCCCCGCATACAGAATCCGGAATCCCGATATGGTCGCCAATCATCAACTGCCAGGGTGAAAGACATCACCACTTTTCTACCCTCTTGTGAAAACCGTACACTATTCGATTCAGGGTGATGAGGTTCAATGGCTTGGAGAATTAGAGAATCAATCAGAATGGATGAAGATACCATCACGAATGTTATGCTATGGATGTATCTTTTAGTTGATCTCTATTGTCTAGCGGCAGTAATCAATGTAACTGGATTTTTTGCACCAAAATGAGATGTGAAGGATTAATTGCCATTTTATCTCTTAGTATAGGCTAAATATCTTTCTCAAGAGCTACTCTCGTCTGACTTGTTTTGCTAAGGGCAATGATTTCACCACTATGTTAGTGCATGAAACTAACCACTCAAACGGTTGGATCTAATGGTACTTGTTCCTGTCCGCGAGATCCGTATTCTCAAGGTATACCTCGATCTAAAAAAAACCCATTAGTCGCATTCAAGGTGCTATATCGAAAAGAATATCACGTACCTTGTTGGTCATCTTTGAATCGACATCCTTGCAGCAAAGACAAGCGGCAATACCCAAGATGCCGAAGGCCATAGATACCATAGCCACCACACTAGAAGTTATTAGAATCTGCTTCTTCCCTGTTTCCTGCGGAGAGTGCGGGCAAGAGGTGTGCTTACAAGATCGCTTTGCAGTAGGCTTGAGCGAGAGCCGCCTCCGCTGCTGCCACCACGGTAGGGCTATATGATTTCATTGCAGCAGCGCCTTTAGATACCACAGCCATTAAATCCGTGACTTTGGACTCGGGGAGTCCCGCAGAGACGGCGGCAGAAGGGACGTATATAGCAGTATATTTGGCCAATGTGTTACTGAAGACAGTCTGGTAGATCGAAGTCGCAACTAGTGAGAATTAGCATGAAAACCGACAAAGTATGAGTAGTAACACCCAACAAAAACATACCAGCACCAGCAGCAAATCGAATGCACCCAGAGATACCACCACTAACACCGAGATTCTTATGCTCAACACCCATCTGCGTAATAGCAATACTCAAATAAAGAGCCCAGCCAAACCCAGCCTGAGAAAGAAAGACAAAAGCAATCATAGTCCCCTTATTAGTCGGCGTAACAATCCCAAGCAACGAGCCAAAAACAACCATAACAAACACCGACCCAGTAAGTTGCCAATGCCAATGTCGTAGCTTACTACCAAAGCAAGTGAGCAGCATAGCACCGAAGAAAATAGCAAAGCCCTGCGGCAACGACAGAATGACAGAATACTTCCAGTCCGCACCGCCGTTGGTATAGAATACCGTGATCATCTGCGGCCACAGAATGCTGGACGAGTAATAGAACATATTGACGACGCCGAGCGCAATGACAGGCGCTGTGAAGTCGCGGCCCCATGAACTGGTGAAGACATAGCTTGGTGTCAGGGGGTATTTCAATTTGCCGAAGGATTCCCAAAGTGCAAAGCAGACTAGTACGACTGCACCGACGACTAGTGGAGCGACGACGTGGGCGTCGTTTGAACCGTACACGCCTGCCCAGACAATACCCATTAGGAAGGGGACTGCGCCGCCGATGAAGAGGAAGGCGCCGAGGTAATCAATGGATTTGAAAGCCTCTTTGTATGGGATTCCGAGGCTGGGTTGTCTTAGCTTGGTTTTGGATTTGAGGTTGTGAACTTACGGGTGCTTGGGTGGGTGGTAGAGGAATAATAGGCCGAAGAATGATAGACCTTGGAAGATTGCGACGCCCCAGAAGTTCCAGGCCCAGGTTCCGAGCTCGTAGCCGTAGCGGGCTGTTACCGGTGCGACGATGACGGCTATGTAGACTGTGAAATCGGCGATGACGACTCCGATGTGTCGCCATTTATTGGGGAGGAGTTCTGGTAGGGCGAATGCAGCCATCTATGAAGAATATTTTAGTTATGAAAAGAGATGGGTGTATCGAGGCTCATACCTGACAGTTTGCACCGCCAAAGCCGGATATAACGAGTCCGGCAATGACTTGGTTGGTGCTTTTGGCTGATGCCACCACAATATGACCGATGAAGCATACCTAGAGACATGTTAAAGCTGTCTATCGGGCTGTTGAGATTGACTTTACCAGATTACCCAAAACCAGGAACCAACGTCGACCTAACAAATCGGTGTTTGGGCCACTGGGAAATTTGATCAGCTTTGGATTGTGGGGATGGGTGTTTCAGATGCATACAAGATCAAGAAAGCACAGGTGATTGAGATAGTCCAGGCCTAAAATTGGATTAGTTCTTTTCATTGAATCTTTTGGACAATACGCACTGGAACAAACCAGATATATCCAGTTGGATCGCCCATATCAGCGGAGATCATGGAGCCAATTGCCGACACGACAGGGACAGGCCAGAAAGAAAGGCCATAACCACAAGAAAGAATCTATATGATTATGATTAGCATGTACAACATAATTGATGTATCATATACATACCGAAGAGACAATCCATGTCTTTAAAGTGACAACCGGTTCATTTGATTCATCAGTTGAAGGCGAGCTTGGTATTTCTGGAGAATCGGCCTGCGCCAGATTCTTTTCTGCGTCCACAGCCATGCTGCAATTAAACTATGCAATGAATGAGAAAGGGGAAATGGAAAGAGAAAACAAGTTTTAATAAAATTCCGGACAACTAACTACTATAGTAATCATATGAAGAGAGGGGCTCAGGATCGTCTCGCGCTAACACTACAATATAACAAACCCCGAGATTTGAGACTTTTTTTTCTCTTAAAGTGGTTCTTTCTCCATTAACTAACACTATCACACATCTATGATGGGCTCATACATTGAAAATCGCGTTGCTATCGTCGTAGGAGCTACTGTCAGTACAAAATCAACTACACATCTACTATCACTAACCAGAAATCCAATACAGTCCGGCATTGGTATTGACCTCGCCAAGAACCTCTGCGCAAAAGGATGGAAGGTCGCATGCGTGGGTCGACGCCACGAGGCCGGTAAAGCTCTCCTTCAAGACCTCCCACAGGACAGAGCGCAGTTCTTCGCCGCCGACATCTCCAACTACGACGAGTACGCCAGTGTATTTAGTAAAGTGCATCACCTCTGGGGCCGCATTGATGCATTATGCGCCAATGCCGGGATCGTCGATATGTCTTCCATCTACATCTACGACTCGAAGAACAACAGCGTCGACGACATCCCACCGACACCGGATCTGTCCGTCGTTGACATCAACTACAAGGGCGTTGTATACGGTACCCAACTAGCAATCCATTTCATGCGCCATAACCCGCAGCCTGGTGGTCGCATCATCGTTACGGGGAGTATTGGTGGGATGTTCCCACACATGTCGTATCCGGTATACTGTGGCACCAAGGCTGCAGTGAATCACTTTATACGAGGTGTTGCTCCATTGCTGAAGCAGAAGGAGAATATTTTGATCAATTGTGTTATGCCGGGAATTGTGAACACGCCTATTGTGCCACCTGAGATGATTGCTGCTGTTACTCCTGAATGGTGGGTTTTTGGTTCTTTGAACAGTATTGCGTGATACTAACTTGAATTTAGTATTACCCCTGTGGACATAATTCTTAAAGGCTATGAGGTCTTTTTGGAAGACTCGACAGGCATGGCGGGTGAGCTATTAGAGTGCTCAGCTGAAAAGCTGATCTACTACCAAATGCCCAAACCTGGAAATGGCTATATCACGAAGCGGGCTGTCACGGTCTGGGAACCACTGTTCCGGGCCATGCATGGCGAAGACTCTGGGCTGTCGGATGCCATTCCGTGAGAATACCAGGGGAGTTAAAAACTCCCATCTGAGACTTCTACTGCCCTAACTGGTTAGCGTCATAAAAAAGTACAGATGGGTCTCCACTGGCGGCACGGTCTGGCGACGATCTTCACCCTCTAGTTCATACCCCTGTTAAATAATCTCAAGCCAATAATGATTTTATTTCTATTTTCATAATTATTCGCGGCTTCTTCTCTTCCGTGTGGGTCTCTAACGGCATAAAATATGATCTATCGTCTGTCATATGGCCTGTTTTACAAGGGTTGTTTCTTGTTTATTGCATTGCCGCTTGTTCCCCGAGTCTAATTGAAATCCACTACAACATATATTGGCCCGTGTATTTCCCGTTTTAACGCTCGTGCTTTAGCCCTGCAACGGTGATATGCGAGTCACTCCAGTGGCGTTTGTCGCGGCCAGTGTCATATTCAAGGAGCCAAGAGTCGATATGTCAATTTCAAGCCGTTGCACATGATCTATGGGTATCTCCGAGCCAGAGCAAAGAATCCACAGCCCTGTGGGCTCGGTTAAACGCCTACTAACAAGTGGAGTATATTCACATGAGTTTACTCTAATTAGGGTTTCTGTCTCTTCCACTGCCTACATGGGGAAACTCTTGAACCCACTGCCGGCTGGAATTTGACCGAAATTTGTCCTTATATTATCATCATGTAGATCTAAACGATCCCACACCTTTAAAAGGTTCATGCCAAGCTCAAGAAAAGAAGCAAATAAGCCCAAGAAACTCTAGATCCCGTTGTAAGGAGGATCATTAACTATTAGAGACCAAAAGCCTCGACAATAGAGCTAACTACTTGCGCCTCAAGTAGCGACGATCTATGGAGTATACATATTATATTTCCAAACAGGACCAATCACATCTATCCATTAAGAACAGCACCCACCTGATTCTCGACTACCGTCGCCTCCATAACCTCACGCATGCCCTCATCACAAAATGCATGATGATCCCTAAAATAGACCCCACTATCCGAAATCTCCACCGCAACTCCGTACAGTTCCTCCTGCGCTAAATGTTTACCGGGTGTATCAGTCAAGCCCCGACCCGCAGGTTCGCCGCCATCCACAAGCTGGAGAACAAGTCTGGCAATCGTTTCCACATCGATGAACCGACCAGGCGGGAAACTGTCCCAACCCGTCGAATCGACAAGATTGGTGCGCACGATCCCAGGACAGATGGCGTTGACGCGAATCCCGCTTGCGTGGAAATGTTGCGATATAGATCGCATGAATCCTACTACTCCGACTGGGTTGTGTTAGTCTTCGTTTAAGCGAAATGAAACAGTGCAGGCTGTGATCGATATATCATATCGATATCATATGATGGTACAATAGTACGCGGGGAAGAGATATTGTACAAGGATAGGGACTCACATTTAGCCGCAGAGTACAGCGGCGAATAGAACGACGGATACAACCCTCCGCAGCTAGCAGTCATAACCAAGCTCGAGCCTCGGCCGTTATCAGGCGAGTGATGGAAATAATGCTGGGCCAGATACGATGTGAAAATAACGCCCTTCAAATCAGCGTCGATGGAGAGTAGGTCCGGCTCCGGCGGACATACATCCCTGCTGTGCTCTGAGTAGAAATTGGTGCGCTCGATGACACCTGCATTTGCGAATACAAAGTCCAGTCTGCTATGTTGCTGGAACATGCTCTGAAACGCAGCTGCAAGATCACTATATTTGGTCACATTGGCGTAATGGAATGTTGTCCGTGGTAGATGGTTTGCTGTGTGGACTCCGCGCTCTGAGTTTATGTCGAGGATGTGGATTTCCCAGTCTTCTCGTAAGGATAGGGCGTTGGCTACAGCCAGTCCCATTCCACTGGCTATGAATTGGTTAGTTTTAGCCTTTTATACACGCGTTTTATGGGGCTCATACCTCCGCCTGTGATTAATGCCACTTTGGTCATTTTTCGGAGATTTTGATACTGTCTGGGTTGGGTGTAGATTAGGCTTAGAAGATCTCTTATATCGTTTGTAAGCGGAATTGTAGAAATGAATCCAGGCTACGGAGTATGAGTTATCTTGTTGTTCCACTAAAATCCCTAATAGGTCAATTCGGACGATCTGTGGACTCCTGAAACCGAGGCAGGTCTACCAGTACTCCGTATAACATACTATAACAGTCTGTTTTTGACAACCCCACTACTCGTATTCTTCAACTTTGAACCGTTGTATAGATATTATTGACTTTAATAGTTGTTTGACAGCTTTCAAAGGAATAAGTCTAATGCGTATTTTGATTCAGCTGAGAACTCAAAACCTTTTAAGACTCCACATATGAATCCTTTGCCGTGGGGGCAATATGTGCCGTCCCATTAGCGTTGCCCGCAACATCCCTGTAGAAAATTTTGGACTGTATTAGACAGGGGTAGTAGGGGGGAGAAACTTGATTTTGTGAAGAGTCTGTCAAATCCTTTCCTGGAATATGCCCCATTGCCATGAGACATGCACCCGATGGAGTATAAACCCTAATAATCGCGAGTGTAGATCATCACAGTTACTCCGTATAGACGAAAATACGAAAATATTGATCGTTCATTGACAACGGCCTCTGCCAGCATTCCTCGGGTATAGTAGATTGAATAGCATAGATAATTGATACGTCTCCTAACCAAATGGCCTGATCTTGAAGTAGATCAGGACGAAGATAGCTAGCGAGGTTGTTATAGCGAGACTCTAGTTGATAGATCCAGTGTGATCGCACCGCTTCTTGCCATTGATATTAATATGGGGATACCCTTTCTCCATAGCGTGTCTCGAAGTTATTTTGTCAGACATCCAAGTCCCTTTCACTAACGTTGCATTGTTTTAAATATTCACCATGGCTGTCAATGCCTTGACAATTGAAACATTCACTGAATATGGAATTGGCATGCTTTTTCTCTTAGTCCGACTATATGCCCGACTATACATAGGAGGCCTGCGCGGGCTCGGGCTGGATGATGCTTTCGCTGTTGCTGGCATGGTATGTTTTTCTTTATCTGGGTTTTACAGATTTGGTGTTAACAGTGTCACGGCAGATATTCTGGACTATGCTGACTGTTATTATCTATCTGCTGGGTAAATACAAATGCCGAAATGATGATTGTCTCGTGGCTAACGTTCAAATAGGGCTGTATGGCAACAACATCGGATTAAACGAGCAAACAGCCATGCTTGTCCCAGAAAGCAAAGTTGCTGATATGATTCTCGGATCGAAGTTGGCTTTCATGAACTGGATATGGTACATCTGCTATATTTGGTGTCTAAAGGGTGTCCTTCTTTGCCTTTATTGGAAACTCACGTATGTCAACGTGCCGTCTATCAAGGATCGAGCATCGGAAATATCTAATATTCTACAGACAAGGAACCTGGCACCGGCACCTAGTTACAGCAGCTTCAGCATTCTGCGTAGTTACCTGGCTCATCTGCCTCTTAACACACATCGGCCTTTGCAACCCAGTTGAGAAAAATTGGCAGATCAAGCCCTACCCAGGAGGCAAGTCTCGACAATCACACCCGATGACCCTAACTAACAGAAACAGACAACTGCACCCTCCGCGAACCTCTTTACATCGTCATCGCCGTCTTCAACGTAATGCAAGTCACCACTAAAATACCCCAACTCCAGAACCCATCCTAACACAACGACAGGTCCGACGCCTGCATAATCCTAATCCCAATCCCGATTCTCGCCAAACTCCAAGTCCCACTCCAACGCAAAATAATCCTGGTAGTGATGTTCTCTTCCGGGGTCTTCATTATGATCTGCACAATTCTGCGCGCCTACTATTCACTTTCGTCGATCACAAATCTCGGCACAGCACTCGGCTGGGCAGACCGCGAATGCTTCGTCGCAGCAATCGTCGTCTCACTACCCGGCATCAAACCGCTATTCCGCAACACGCGCTGGCTGGGCTCGTCGAACCGCAAAAACTCCAAGGCCCCCTACTACAACAGCGATGGGTATAACGTGGCTGGGTCGAAGTCTGGGAAGACGAAGACATTTGTTTCAACGCCGTCTCGGAATGGGAGGTTTGAGTTGGAAAGTGTGTTGCATACAAAGGCCGATCGCGTTTCTGAGGCTGGGAGTGAGGAGTATATTCTTGAGGGAAGTCAGGGTGTGGCTGGTGCTGGACACCAGGATCCCATGGCTATTCGGGTTACCACGGAGTATACTCTTGAACGGGAGCAAAGGAGATTGGATCGGATGAGATCTTAATAATATATGTGTAACTGATTATGTTTGTATTATTTTGGGATACGAGGTTAGAAATTTGAGTCTGAGATACCAACTGGTTTGGGGAATATAAGGAATGTTTATATCTCTTATGTCATTTACCGCCATCTTTGTATATAGGGACTTTGCAATCCAAACAATCATATTTTGGCCCTTACAATTATTCCAACTTACCTGTGAACTTGCAGGGATCATTCCCCCTGCAACTGCAGAATCAACTGTATCACAGGCGGTGTGAACCTAGAGCCTACAACCCCCTGACACTTCCAATCCAACTGGAACCGAATATCTCATCCAGGAACATGTTGCGGGTGTTCAACTACATCAAATGTGGCCTAAAATGAACATGGAACAACATATGCTATGCACAAAAGCGCTTTCATTAACAATAAAAAGGATGGCCTCGTTAGACTTCCCGGCCTATGGCAGTTTGTACTTTGCAGATGCGCCTCTACATCTGGACTCGAAGATTCCTTTCGAGCATGGCTTCTGTATAGGCCCACATTGCAGTCCGGTATTTTGGAACAGAAATCCGGGGGAGAATGAACTCTACGGTGGTCCAAGTCCCAATTGTGGACCTTGGAGAGACCTAGCAAGTTACTGTCGAGGCTTGATAGATACCGGGTTATCCCATTTACCCAAGGAAGCCATTCGCGAGACTTTGCCTCATCAAGGGTCAATTCAAGATCATATCCGTCTCTTAGAAATCAGTTAAGAAGTGATGCAAAAGTTGATCGAAGATAAACGCATTAAGGATGCTTCTACTCCTGCTCTTCTTTACGCTGATTTCCACAAGAGGAACATTTACGTCTCAGCCGATGAACCAACTCTCATTACCGGCCTAATCAGATTGGCAATCAACAAGTATCGAGCCCGCATTTATCTATGCCAATGAAACACCCGATTTCGCCACAATCCTAGCCATCCCTGATGAAGATGCATCCGATAATAAAGATGACCCAGATTCTAAACAGAAAGAACAAGAATTGAAAGATGCATCCATCTGCCACCAGACATACGATGTGGTTATGACAGCCCTTATTCCCAAGCTTCGTCCCGCAAGATTACTCGACCCGACTATTTTCCGGCTCTTCCATTACAGCCATACAACATGGAGAGACTCCGCTGCCGCTGTGCGTCAAGAGTTAATTGAGCTTTCAGCTCGCTGGGAAGAATTAGGGCTAGAGGGTTCGTGTCCATATTCTCCTACAGAAGCGGAATTGAAGCAGTATGCGCGAGACTATGAGGATTTTGAGGCTGTTCAAGCACTCAAGTCATGGCTGAGGAATACTCTGGATACAAATTCTGACGGATGGATTCCGAATGAGGATTGGGATGCTGCGAAGGCTCTTCATCGCGATGCATATGATGAATGGATACAGACTGCCAAGGAAGCTGAGGCTCGAGGTGAAGATATGACAGTTGCAAAGGCGGATAAGATGTGGCCATTTGATGCTAGATAAATGCCAGGGCCGAGCAACCAAAACATGTTTGGCTTTAGCACTATCAGAGCACCTTTACTGTTGCCATTGTACTCTATCACATAATACTCCTTGATTCCCGTCATGTTATACCGTTAAAGTGAGATCCACCTATCGAAGAGTTATATTCTTGACAAATCAAACCATACTAGACCCCTGAAAGAACCTGATAAGACTATTAGTCCTAGCTTTATAAGTGGACGACAGATATTGACAACTCATAGAAGGGGGGAACCTGGCTCTTGTCCAATTGGAAAGCCAAAACTACCTGTAATAAGACTACATGGATGTATTTGGTGAGCAAATAGGGGATATCTAGGGCAATGGCGGGGGAATACGGAATACTATTGCATGGACAAGTACAACATACAACAAATCTATAAAAGCCACTTCCTCTTTTCTTCCTCTTAACCTTACCCAATTCCCATATTGAATTCTTTAGAATATTACACAGGGTTAGTTTTTCGATATGGTATAGCTCAAATCACTAATATGAATCTGGGGGTCAGTTGTTAAAAGCTCAATAGAATTTTGTGTGGAATTCCTTTCCAGGGTCAGGTCTTCCCAAAATTGAGCATCCACTATAGGATTGAGGTATATGTTTCTTCTTACATTAACAGGAAAGATCAGGCACAAAGTAGTCGTCGGAATAGAGTTTAAGGTCGTCCTTGAGTGTCTGCTGGATAAACCCAATACGCTTCGCTTGGCTCTGTGAAGATAGATCAGTCAACAAGACCAGTGGCCATATATAATCTGGGTCCATGGCATCATTTGACATTTTGAATGGGTCTCAGAGGTGTATAGAAGGACAGGTTGAGGCTGATAATGTGGTGTGGCTATCCTCCCCACTACACGCATAGTCTTAGGCAAGTACGCCTGACTGAAATGGCTCTCTAACGTCATGAAGGCAGAGAGTCTGGGTGTAATTAGCTACCGTCGAGGGAACCGTGTAAGCTTTTGAATTGTAACTGCAAGCTATTAATGCAAGGGATTATATTGAATTCATATGAAAAGTTACTTGATTTCTATTGTTTCCCGCAAAAGCTCTATACTGAATACCTGATGCAACAAGTCTATTCGATTTCCCCTCTTTTATTTGTCCAAGGGACAAGAGCGTGAAGCATATCAGTACACTAAGTTACAGAGAGAAGTATCAGGAAGAACACAGGAGCGCAGACCGGGGGAATGGATATGCTGAAAGATCACGGAGGGGAAAATGCATCAAAAAAAGGGGAGATGGAGAGATGGCAGAAAGGTCTATATAATACACAACTCCAATCCCAGTCCCTGATGTGCATTACAGAAAAGAGATTAAACAGTAGACTTATCTCTAGGGGAGGGAGGCGTCAGGATGCGGGATTCGGGAAGTCGGTTCTAAGCCTTGGTGGCCTGGTTCTTCTCCTCGGTGTCATGCGCAGCCTTGGGGATGAGGGAGTCACCCTCAACGTTCTCGCCTGCAGAAACGTTTTCGTTCTTCATTTGGGCGTTGACATCCTTAGCGCGGGTCTGCTTCTCAGTCGGGTGCGACGATGCATCTAGCTCGGCGGCACTGGGGGGAAGCTCGGAGATAGCGGACTCTTCGGAGGAAGCGGGAGCATCAGAGGGAGCTGGAGCCTCAGAAGGAGCTGGAGCATCGGAAGGAGCTGGAGCATCGGATTGGGGCTCATCATCGTCTTCCAGCTCGGCGCCGTAGACTTCGGGGTGTTGACGGAAGCAATCTTGCATTGCCCTTCAAAAACATGTTAGCACATGACTTATCGTCTTCGAAAATGACAGTAAAACATACTTGAATTTCTCAACGCAGTCAATGCCCTTGGGCTCTTCCTCGGAGTAGACGAAGCAGCTGAACGCAGCCTTGAAGTCCTCTCCGCATGGCCCGTGGGCCATGCCTCCAAGACAAGGGCAGTCCCAGTTGATCTCGCCGGTCTCCGGGTTAAAGGCAGCCTCCTGGCCGGCCTCCTCCTCAAGCTCCTGCGGGTTCAGGCCACCTTCCAAAGCAGCGGCCTCGCTCTTCTGAGACTGCGCGGCAGCTCGTTCTTGGCGAATTTTGGGAGTAATAGAGTCGAGGGTCTGGGGGTTGGCATCATCGGTTTGTTTCCGGATCGTAGAAAGGATAGAGACTGAAGCCAAATGAAAGCAGTGTTAGTGATTCGGGATTCCAGAACTCGTTGGTCTTGACGGTGAACGGATTGTCGCGGCTTGCAACCTCGGGATCAAGGGCAACCTCCCAACTCCAATCGAAACGTACACTTCGGCTCCTCGGAAAAAACACTGCTCGTGTTGTAGTAGTAGATAGCACCACCAGCCAAGCCCAATCGCAAGAAAGTGTTCTTCCAGCTTCTCGACTTGTTCGGACCGGTGCTTATCAATCGTCTGTTCGCTGGTGTACGGGCTGCCACAGTGGGCGCGCGGGCGAGCGCTCGAGCGGCGGGACGAAACATTATGTGTGAGAAGAATAGGAATCAATCGAATTGACCGAGAGTTCCTCCAAGGGATTGAGAGGAGGGGAGTTGAGGCGCGGGATGGAGAAGTTGGAAAGCGATGGTGGATTTTGGCCTGAGGTTGTCTGCCCGCGTCAGCCAGTCACGTTGCAGCTTTCACTCAAGATAATTATATCGTCACCACGCACACTTTTGGGCTTTGATCTCTTTTGATTTACATATTTTTTTGGCTATTTGATCTTGATCTACAATGGAGTGGGATCCAAGCCGATTCTTCCGTCCTTCAGGGAGTCCTTCACCTTACGCTCTTCTCATCCTCAATCAGCCAATCAATGAGAAAGCTTTTGGAGTGTTGAGCAGATATGGTAGGCTTCTATATGAATTGCATATAAACGCAATGCTTTGAATAAGAAATACTAATGCCAATGCAGCATCTTATATTATTTGCGCCGATGGAGGCGCCAATCGCCTTTTTGATATGCCACAAGTTAATGAAGAATCTAAAGTAAGCGATATATATGGACTTGACTATTTACACAATGTTCCTGGACTAGGACAAGTTCAAATTGCAGCAAAATAAGGATTAAACTAAGCCAAGTATCAAGCTGACCAGAGATATAGCTTCCTGACTCCATTGTCGGCGACCTTGATTCTATCCGCCCCGCAGTGCGAGAACATTATGAGAAACTAGGAGTGTGCGTCCTCCAAGATTCAGACCAATACTCAACAGACTTCACAAAGTGTCTGAAATATCTCAACGCACATGCGGCAGAGATCATAGCTTCCCCCCGAAAAGGAAAACCAACCAATGACACAAATGGAAGCACATCAACCTCACCATCAGACCAATCACCTCTGGAAATTGTAATCCTCGGCGGTCTAGGCGGCCGTGTGGATCAAGCCTTCTCGCAAGTCCACCATCTGTACATGATGACACAGACGCAACGCTCAATCCGTGAAAAAGAACCCTCAAGCCCTGACGCCAATGCAGCTGCAGGCGGTAATCTCTATCTCGTCTCTGAGGAAAGCATTACCTTCATTATCCAAACGGGGAAGAATACAATCTACACGCCCGGAACAAGACGAGCAGACATCGCAGCATCGTCTGATGTAAGCGAGTCATCGAGAAAACGGAAGCGTGAGGAAGAGCAGAAAAAACCAGAATACTTCTTTGAAGAAAATATCGGTATCATCCCCCTCTCGGCACCTGCCAAGATCACAACTCATGGCTTTGAATGGGATGTGGAGGATTGGCATACCGAGCTTGGAGGACAGTTATCCACGAGCAATCATATCCGCGCTGAGAAGGTGGAGGTTGAGACCTCTGTGCCAGTTTTGTTCACAATCGAGTTGGCGGAAAGGTTGAAGAGGTGACCGTGGGCGTGAGCTTTAGGTACGGAAATCGGTAGGAATCATGACAGTCTATCCCTATCCTGGGCCTTTCACGCTTCACGGAAAGGTCATATATCGCTGTTGCTGCCGCAAACTCGCGGTTCAGCCCACACCCATAGCAGCGTATATGTTAAAAGTCGGCTTTCACCAACCGCTGTCCCATGTGTGTTCTGATCAATATAAAAGAATTACCAGGGACTTCTATTTCGGCGTCTGGGGCTCTTCTTGAATCACTCACCTTCAAGCACCTGCTAAGGGCCATTTCTTCGGCATCTTTGGAGCGCAACAACCTTCCGTCTATCTACAAATCAACCAAGGGTAAACTCAACTGTACATATACTACTACATTTTGATACCCCTCTTACGACTGGAAAACAATGAATCGGTCATTAAAAGAAAAAACAGAGAATAATCTCCAGAATAGGTAATCAGGACCAGAATAAATAACCCCCAGGCGCCTTCTCTGGCTAGAACGAGAGACCAAGAAAGACAGGGGAAAGAGAAGGCAAAAGAAACCCAATATCGCATATCGCATAAACCACATACCAGTGACTAAAGTTGAACCCGTAACAAAAAACCACAAAAAGATAACAAGCACCCAAAACACTGAATAATCATTCAAACATCTGTACAGCCTCGCAGAGGTCATATCCAAGCTCTTACGAGCGGTGCAGAATAGCCTCGTACAGAGCACCGACACCGCCAATAGCAGTTCCAGTCAAAAGACCGAGGTCGCCGCCAGGGACAGAGTCAATAACCTTCCCAATAGCATACCCACTATAGAAGCCAAAGAAGTTGAAATCCTTTCCAAACACAAGGTGCACCAGTAAAGCCTTGACGACGTTGAAAGTCAACGGATCAAACTGTGCGAGATTAGACGCAGACCGAGTCCGACGCGCACTGCTAGAAGCCTTCCAGCTCAGGTTGATGAAGTAGGCCGAAATCAAAGGCAAAACCAGACAGGTAAGGAACCACAGCGAAAATGGTGCCCAGAATGCTCCTTCCAGCAACACGAACAGATCCGGAACACGGATGGGAATCGAGGGGATCTGCGCAGCTTGCACTGCTGGTGTAGTAGTAAGGTAACGTATCGGGATCAACTCCTTAGCAAGGCTGCCACCCTCAAGAAGCAGCACGATGATCTCAACGGCCTTCACGCTGCTCAGCGATGCGCGCAGAGAGTGCGCCCGATCCACCACGCCTGATGCAGTCCATGCATCCTCGAGGCTCTCGCGCAACTTGTGCGTCTGCGCGTCGATGGCTTCGGTGATAGCGGCTGGAGATGCTGGCAGCGATGGCTCGGGATCCACGATGGCAGCGGTAATTGATTGACGGGGTGTTTGGTGGGGTGTCTGGCGCGCAGACTGACGTGTGCTTGTGCGTGCCACGGCAGGAGTTGGGCTGACTACGGTTGGGCTGGGCGCGACCTCTACCTCGATATCCTCGCTGGTGTGTGAATTAGTATGTGTGCGATATAGATGGAATGGTAGGGTTTGAAGGCGCTCATACCTAACTTCCTCTTCCTTTACTTCCGTCTTCGCAGAGCGGCGGGCTGGAGTTCGCGCGGGAGTCCGCGCAGTTTCGCGCTTCACGGGAGATCCTCTGCGGGGTGGAGATGCCAGACGTGAGTAGTATTCAGAGAGGCTCTTAAGTCCAGAGAAGATAGTGCGGTTTTCGCGCAGATGTCTATCCAGAACTACAACAAGATCATTCTTGTTATAGTCATCGTAGCTATAGAATTGATCAGCTTGGTCTATGCGACAATCACATCATACTTACTGTGGCAGATCAGTTTGATCAGCCAACTCGGCCAACTCGGGCTTTTTCAGCGACTTGAGATAAGGAAGAGACATAATGTATCCGATAATCAAGAGAAATTGGACCAATGTCAAATAAGAAAGTAAATACTGGGGGGGGGGAAAGAAGATGCAAGGGAGGGGAGTGGCCGGTAATTGTTTACATCCGCCGATCGCCAAAACAAAACACGGTTTAGCGCGTTCACCTCCCTTTGTTCAGTTTTCTTTCTTTTTTCTTTTTTTAGTAAGAGTTTGGTATAATGGAAAGAGCTCTTTATATATGTATCTTATAGAGTAGTTTGCCCTTTTTGATTGATATTGATAAAAGATATACCCTAATATCATATCATAACTGGAGTAGAACATGGAATATGTCAAAATATATATATGGAGTTGAAAAAAGAGCTATGTTACAGGAGGCCGTAGCCAGTCTAATAATCTATCACAAGAATACACAGTATACAAAGTGCTCAAAGCACCCAGAGTCATAACATCCCAGATCGGGACAAAGAATCCAACGCCCCCATTTCCCAATGACCAAACAAATGAAAAAAAAACAGCAACCTTGGAAATGCATGCAGATGACAGGCCTTACAAAGACTCCTCCAAAATCTGGCGGGCCTCGAGTTCTTTGAGCAGGTACTGATACATAACCAGCATCGTCCCGCTTTGAATGCTAGTCCACACACCGCGTGGGCCCACGCCGCGGAACCACCCCGCAAGACCCTCCGTCCGGTAGATCATCTTCAACCCCGTGAACACGGAGGATGTGTCAAGTCGGGGTGTACCGGGCGGTGGGATTGATGTGTTTGCACCTGAGGTGGAAATTGGTCGCGAGTGTGCCCGAGGAATGTGGGAATGTGATGATGCCGCGTGTGGCCGTGGGCTTTCTTTCGGTATATGTTCGACGCTATGTTTGGCACCCGAGGAGCCGGATGGGAGCGCTGGGGGATTTTGCTGGGTCTGGATGCGTGTCTTGACCACATCCATCGGACAGGTGATCACACCAGCCATACCGCCGGCGGTGGCGGCTGTCAAGACCTCCAAGCCCAGCCCAATGTCCCGTTTTCCAACCCAGTCCTTAGCCATGGATTGCTCCTTTTCATAGAATGCGAATTGGAGTGCTGAAAATGGGAGATCGCGGAAAATAGTGGCCTTGTAGCCGTGGAATAATGCTGAAAATCCTTCCTGGCGGACGATTTGGCGGAACCCATCTCGCATGTTGCGGTAGTTGTAGCCTGAGTTGAAGTGCGGGTTGTTGTGTCGTCCCTGCAGCTGGAGTCGTGTTTTCAGCACCTCGGATGGCACGTAGACAACTGACGCAGCCAAATCGGCCAAGAAACCACCCGATAGATAGGCGATGCTGGGGTTGATCCCGGAGTCGATCATCAGGCGCTTGGTATATTCATACACGCCGAAAAATATCACGGTGCCGGGAAACGAGCCGAGTAGAGCCGGCGTTACTCCTCCATATAATCCGCGACATATTCCTTCTTGGCGGTAGATTGTTGCATAGGACTGGCCCATCGAAGTGTATTTGGGCGGAAAGGTCGGATCGCCTTGTTGTCGGGTCTTGACTGTATCTAATGAGTGCATCAACATGTCGCCGCATGTTCCTCCGGTACCACCAGCCAACATCGCCTATAATTCCAAATCAGATCAGTTTTGCGCAGTGCAATCCCGTTAGGGACAATCGTACATGTAGGTATGGTGGCCGAGGCTCCTCTTCCTCCAACAGCGCGAGGTCGCCATTTCGAACAGTGTAGTTTGGATCACTAATTCCACCCATTGAACTCGGTTGTGTCCATGGTGAGGTATGTGAGTCCCCCGCAGACGGTGCTGTCGGGTCTGAGGTCGCTGTCGAGAACAGGCTGAACACCCGCGAGGTCAGGCTCATGGCAATATGCCTGCGATCCCAAGCGGTACTGGTCAGGACCAGGGGATATTGGGGTGCTGAGAGATTGGACGGGAGAGAAGCACCCCTGGGAGATAATAATAATAAAGAGTGACAAGAGATCGAGAAAAGGATTGATTATTTTGAAAATGATTGTTCCACCCAAAATTCTGATCGGCTTCATTTTGCCGCCAAGCCCGATCTACCGCCTCAGGGATCACGGGATTTCGTCATTGGAGCATTTTAATATCTCCTGAGCGATATGATTATGATCCTATGAATGCAGATTTGGACTTTCTTCCTTCTGTGAAAGGACAAATTAGTCTCTATATGAGCTATTTATTTGATATCCTTCAAAGTGATACATATACATACCCGTCGTTTTTGACAAATCGCGCATATACCTTGTCCAATTTGCCCCCATACTCTCTGACATAAGCCTTTTTAGGCCTGTTGTACTACGTTTAATAGGTCTCTACAAATTTCCAATGGAATAATGAAATGATTCTGAGACAAGGTATGTTGACAAGAGGAAAGCAAATACAGAAACTATGCATCGCAATACTCTAGAAATAATAAACACAAGTCGTTGCGTATAGCATCATCATGGCGGAACCCCTCCGCGTCCGCCTCTTTTCTACAGTCGGGACCTGGGTGTCCCATACTCCGACATCCTCCTATGTTCTTCGCTGATGCGGGAACATGCCAATGGGAAAGCTGTGAGATTATGTCTTGCACCAGCCACCTTCATTCCGCAATCTTGCAAACCAAAAACCAACGTTCTTTCCTAACGTCAAGAGCTCCAGCTGGCAAAGCAAGGTGTCTGGCACATCACCATAGCGACATTTACTGCGGCTTCTTAGCAGCGGTAGGACCAGAGATGTAGCGGCCAATATCGGTGGCCTCGTATCCCTGGCGCACAACACCCTTGAGGGTCTCCCAGCCCTGGCGAACCTGGGGAGGAGTGCTCTGGTGGGAGATAGTGGCGTCGGCACGGGCAGTGAGTTGGCGAACAGCCTGCTGGACGAAGGAGCTCTGGGCGTAGCGGGCGCGGAAGAAGGACAGGTAGACGATCAGGAGCACCCAGCTACCCTTGGAGAAAGTGATAGCGGACAGAACAAGGCGGAACAGCAGGGCGATCTCGAGAGTAGCGACAACACCCATGCTGGCATCGTAGTATTGCTTGATGAACCGTCCAATGGTCTCAGCAAGGGGAGACTGCTTCACAGCAGGCTTGTTGGGGGAGGAGGGAGAGGTAGGGGCCGGAGCAGCGGGCTGCAGGGTGGGGATCAAGTACATGCGGCTGTAGGTTGCGACGTGGAAGACCGAGTAGACGCTGAAAGGCAGAAGAGCTAGGATAAGCTGGCGGGAGTACAGCCAGACCAGAGCCATTCCTAGAATATGTGTAAGCTTGGATTTTGAACTGTCGCATCGCCAATCACCTACCGAGGTATTGCACATTCTCATCAGAGATGAGCTTCATCACAATTGACAGAGGGCTGCCCTGGACACCCCGGGCGAAGTGGCCCTTATACACAACGATTCCATATGTCCCGGCAGCCGAGATGAATGCCAGGCGGTAGGCGATCTGTGCCGAGGAGGAGTAGTAGTTGAAGAAGATGCAAGACACAAGGTAGCGGAAGACGGAGAGCAATAGCGTCACATGTCTATAAATTGTCAGTGACCCTGGATTTGGGTCTTTGTCGATGTGCGCTTCCGTAGATTGACCTACCCAACGAACCATGCAAACCTGCAACGTGGCATTCCGTTAGTATTGATAAATAAGGCATTGAAGCATCACTTCATGGGGAAACACACTGTAGAGTTTGGGCCAAGGCCTTGAGTCTCTCAACCAGAGGCAAGTTCGCGGAAGGAGGAGGAGGAGCCATATCTTTTTTTTTTCTGAAACAGATGAAGATGATAGAATTACTCGAGATGAAGAAAGGGTAAAAACTGAAAGTGTGGAAAGCGACAGATAAGAAGGTGGCTGGGGGAGAGCGGGGAGACAAGGGACATCCGTGGACGCACACTGAGCTTCCTCTCTCTTCTCTCTCCGCCTTGGTGACGTCGGGTATTCGCAATTTCACATCTTCACTTTTATACTTCTATTTCATATTTCATATTCACTTCGCTTTTTTTTGTCTAGCATCTGAACTTGTTAATATGTTTGTGTTAACCTGTCGAGTCGGTGTGGCCTGCTAAACGGAATCTAGTTTCAGCACTAACCTTCGGCCGTTTGCATACACTTGCAGCATTCTCCAATAGTTCATGTGTTATATCTTGGCAGATCACACAAGTTTCCTAAATCAATACCAAAAGGAGGTTTGACATACAACATACTCAATATGCTTTTGCAGCTTCATCAAAGGTCTTCCAGGAATATATCCGGAGTCAGTCAAGTATAGACACTATAGAGTCAGATGGAAGAGTTATACTCAGACCTCTCAGACCTGTCAGTCTTGGGAATTGAGTACGTGGCAGGGGATTATCAAATCAGATACTTGACTTCGACCTTTCTCTATGGCAGGACCAATCCAAACTTGTGGAAGCAAGAGGCATATACTCCGTATAAGTACTCACGATTCTTGACGTGGTCAAGCAAACTTGTACCACACTTTACTAGCTTAAACCCATCATAGAAGCCAAGAAGACTCTTCGACACTTGATCTTTATTTGGAATACTCAGAGGTTGGGCCCCTTCAATGCTATCTTTAGAGCAACCTAGGCCAAGAATTGACAAGATCATACGAGGTACTCCGTATAACTACTGTAGGAAGCACATCCCAATCTCACTATTATTCCTTGAGTCCGATCCTTGAGTGCGATCTCTATTTAGTATGGCTACTCAGCCAACTAGCGACGTAGCACTCCGTATACGAGTTAGCATTACCACATAAATCTCCGACGCTTATGATGAGGCTCATCAAACGGATACACTTCTATTGTCTAACCCTTGATGTTTAGAACTTAGCATTAGTCTATATCTAAGAAATAAAGGTACATTCAGCACAACACCTAAATTTATCCCTATGGACCCCTAATATTTAACTTTCCGATGTAGTATGCACTAAACCTGCCAGGAACATAACAGTCGAATCAATAGAAGTTCACGATCTGAATACGGGTGATCTACATGAATTGATGCTAATCTCCGGGTAGCCCTGCTATTTTTAGGCCTGCATGTTATGCCCTAACAGGGAAGGCCCCAGGAACACGAGCGCCAAGCTTGACCGATGTTTCGACTAAGCTTAACAACATCGGATATTTTGAATAACACGAGAAATTCCTATGGGGACTATACGAGATATCCTTTTTGAAAATAGATTCCTTACTTTTCACTCCATAGAACCTTAACACTGGATACGGGCTTAATGGGGAAAATCTACGAATACGAATCGAAGATCTCTCTACATCCCACTTCTATACGAGCCTCGTGGGGTCCAAAGCAAGCAAGAATGAAGAAAATAGTCGTTTCATATAGGATACAACCTCGGGGAATGAGGAATTCAGAAATATAAAATGCTCCTTCATTCCTCGTCAAACTCTTCTATCCATCAGCTCACAACATCGCAACATCAGCTACTCTGCAATCAGCAATCCGCAATACCAGCCTCATCTTCATATACTTCAAGTATCTCTCGAAACTCCATTCAAAATGATGTTCACTCCCGTCCTGGCACTGGCATTTGCCGCCCTGACACCAATCGTCAATGCCTATCCCATCACCGGCAACACCGTCAACTGCCGCTCTGGCCCAGGAACCTCCCACTCCGTAGTGAAGAGCTACAAGAAGGGAGCCGACGTTGCAATCACCTGCCAGGCTCCTGGCACCAGCGTCAATGGCAATGAAATCTGGGACAAGACCTCCGACGGCTGCTATATCTCCGACTACTACATCCGAACTGGAAGCAGCGACTACGTGACCAAGAAATGCGGCGGCGGAGGTGACAATGATGGTGGCAGCGGTGGCGGTAGCGGTGGAAAGCTACCCGGCCTCTCCTCCACCCAGTCCAAGCATGCAAAGGACATCATCGGAGAGGCAAAGAAAGAGGGTCTGGGCCGTCAGGGCTGTCTTGCTGGAATCGCAACTGGACTTGTCGAGGTGAGTCGCTTACGCCTTCAATTCCCATATAAGAACATTACTGACACTATCTCAAGTCTAATCTCCTTATTTACGCCAACAAGAAAGTCCCCGCTTCCCTTAAGTATCCCCATGATGCTGTGGGCTCCGACCACGACAGCGTGGGCATCTTCCAGCAGCGCGCTATGTACTACCCTGATATCGCTGCTGATATGGACGCTGCCAAGTCCGCTGCTCAGTTCTTCAAGGAAATGAAGCGTGTTAGTGGCTGGAAGTCTATGGACGTTGGCAAGCTTTGCCAGAAGGTGCAGCGCTCCGCCTATCCCAGCCGGTATGCCGACCGTGTTGGTGATGCTAAGAAGATTTGTGCTGCTGGTGGCTTGTAAATGGACATTTTGTTTGACATTTACTTGGATCATGTTGGCTAGACATTGTTGTGGTTGTTCGATTACTTGATTTGTTGGAATCTGAGGAGTGTGTTGCTTTATTACTGTTTATAGTACAAGGAATATACAGATGTTGACATCGACTTTTCCCTCTATCTCCCAGTACGCAATGAATGTTAATATTTACTCATCACTCATATCACATATGGGCTAGATCTAGCAAGCACATACAAAGCTCTCGCCCAGTATATAGTCCACAGTGGAGAAAGATAGCCCTCTCGTTGGACAAATTGCTCGAAGGCCTGGAACCTACAAGGCAAGTCCTGTCATTCTAAGATCTTCAGTAGCCCTATGCCGTTGGTACAAACCCCATGTTCATACTCTGCCACACAATAACCCAAAAGAGTAATGGAAGTCGGTGCCAGGATAGGTTGTGTACCACACTTTGCTTCAATTATCAAGCGCCATAGCCGAGAGGAGGGATGGAAGTGATGGACCCTAAGCGCCATACTCATAACAGACGTAGCAAGAACACCATGAATATCTTACCTATGCACAATGCATGATTTTCTACGTCATGTCCTAGTCCTAGTCTTGCTCACGACCTCGGGAGTGAAAGCCTTGAACATGCAAATGACCAAGACCCTGCATTATCCCCTTTGAGATATCAAATGCACGAGAGTTCGTGGTACATTGCTTTTCAGGCCTGGTGCATAGATGGTATTCCTCAACCTCCCGAATGACGCACAATGGCGTCTTGACCGCATGAGCATTGAGGCGATTGTCGTGAATATCTAAAGTAGACATGTGTTATAGTATTACCGGTTACAACTTCTTACCCGTAGTCCTCACTAGTAATTGTATACAGGCAGTCATTGGCAGCCTTCATCGTGAATGCAGCGAACCCAATACCCCTCTGTGCTGTTTTCAGGGATCTTCCCCAGAATTCGCCATGTGAATACCCGTAGATCCCCCAGAAATCCCCATAGACCCCATAAACGACTCAAAAATAAAGTTTTCCCGGCAGTTAAGAATCACATGGCAGACCTCGGACCAGCCCTGCGACTAACGCTATTTCAACAAGGTCTCTTCCCCCGCATTCCATTTGTATCTTTATACTATCTGTATGGATCCCGATCCTTCCCCGGATTATGCACCAATATACTATGTATTGTAAAATGTGGAAGTTTGACGCCACTCGGCTAGAAGCACGTGTCAATCCTGCGAATGCCGAACGATTCACTCCTGGCCTATGAACACCCACCAATACCACGTGTTGGCTAAAGTTAGTGTTCATCCACTCTATACTCCATCGACTTCGTTAGTTTTGAACGTCGGGTCCGGGGAAACACGCTATCTAGGTCGATCAACCCCGCACCCCGGGGTCTTGAGACCGCGTTGAACGAAGTAAGATCACCAGATCAACGAAACTAAATCATAAGAACCGCGGAACTTCTAGAGAATGGTAGATGGATTTACCGATGCTTAGTTGCGGGGTGATCCTTTGACGTTTAACAATCTATGACAATGACTAACTCGCCCCTCGCTACCACTATCCCTGTCAAATATGTATTTAATTAACTTCCCGAGGTCCCCTCTATGCATATCTAAACATCTACTTTAATGTCGATACGGAATACGGAGTACGAAATAGTTACCAAAGAGATACATTTCAGCCGCACAATATAACGCCCTCATGTAGGTACAACCTTGTAACAGGAATCTCACCTAATCGTTCTGGGGCAATTTCCACCATCTAGAAGGGTTCTCCGAAAGCCTAACAGGGATGCTACAGTGTAGAGTAGGGTTTAACTAGTATAATAACCCCTGTAAATATCCGTACTTCGGTAGTGAAGTAACTCTAGAAAGGAGTATCTCCGTCAACGCACAGACTAAAATGTCAAAACAGCCCCCAACGAGGCAAAACCGCCGTTCCTGCATGTGGAGTCCGTAAGACCAGGGACTAGTGGGTTTGGGGTTTAACCGATTGGGGCTCAGCTTTGCTTTTTGTATTTTAGTGTAATTTATGTACTGCGTTCTGGAATTATACTGCATTCTACATTGCATTCTACATTGCATTCTACACTGCATTCTACCGGGCATACCGATGCAAAGACCCGAATTGCAGTTGAGATTAAGATCGGGTGTAATGTAAATACTTGTACGGAGTAATTGGGGATGGACTAGTCTTGATTTTTTAAAAAAAAAGCACGGGTAAAATAAGGATAAATTATCGAATTATATTGAGTTTTTAAATCGAACATGAAACGCAAAAAACATCATACATCATTGATACATACGGGAATTGCAAACACTGCCGGGAAAATATGAGACATGTCCTGTAACACCGTATCTCCTGGAATCTCCTTTTTCCTTCCAGAGCCAAAGACCGGATAACCCCCCGGGAATATTTAGAACATTAAAAAAAGAAAACATAAACGTATTTCAGGAACCTCGTCCGTACGCGGGCGCAAATGAAGACTGGGGATCCCAATCGCGCGCACTATGTAATGAGCTAGGCGGCCTAGGCCCGGAAAAACTTAGCGAGGGACGCACATAGCGGGCTTCACGACCGACATGAGTGCGGTCCGAGCTGGGGGTAGGACTGGCTGGACTGCGGCCGTATCCAGTCTGTGTGGGGCTCAGGGAAGGCATGAAGAAACTTCGTTCAGTTCCTGTTTGTGTAGGGCTTGGCGACGGCATGAAAGCGCTGCGGTCTGTGCCGCCCATTTGGGTAGGGCTCGGTGAGCGCATGAAGGCGTTGCGGTCAGGCCCCATTCGAGTAGGGCTTGGCGAGCGCATGAACGGATCGGGTGATTTCAGAGGTGAGGTGAGCATTTCGAAGCCCTTGTTGTCGGTGAAGCGGTTAGCGGCGTCTACAGAGACGAACTCGTTGCGCCGGGTAGTTTTGCTGCGGATTAGATCCAGCCACCCGGCCAACATGGAGGGACGGGCGAAGAGGAGGAAGTTCCAGAGGCCGACGAGGGAGAGGAGAATCACGACTGCTAGTACGGTTGCTTCGTTGGGACCGATGGCTTCGGCATATTCGCGGCAGAGCTCCTTGTCGCCGGTTTTGGCGAGGCACAGTAGCCAGGGCATTGCAAGTTTGACGTTGTCTTCTGTTGGTGCGACGGCGTTGTCGAGGTTGATGAAGACAACTGCGAAGAAGATTACGTTGCCGAGGATGATACATGTGAGGGCGATGCCGCGCCATTGAAGTTTAAGGACGCGGCGTACGCGTCGATAGGCTTGCCGGGCTGTAACGGTGCCCATGCTGGATGTGTAGGAAGGGAGTGCGCCTGAACTGCCTGTAGTTGAGGTAGATTTGTCGAAAAGGGAGCGGAGGTAGATGTGCATGCAGTAGATCATTGTTGATAGTTGGAGGATGAGAGCTGCTGCGCCGAAGATCATGACTGGGATCCAGTAGGTGTATATGCCGTTTTTTACGTTGATATGGCAGACTTTGCCGAATCGGAATGACACTCCAGTCAGTATCAGCATAACTGTCAGTCCGATTGCTGGGAGCCCGAAGCCGCAGACAAAGGCTGTCCACATGAACTTCGGCCCTAGGACTTTTTCCCAGCATACTTGTAGGTGGAAAGCCATTGTGCGGATGAAACTCCATACAACGATAAACAGGCCTCCAAATAACAGTAAAGATCCCGAGAAGGCACAGGAAAGATTGGAGCGCATATCATTGGGGGTGATTGCATTATGGCATTCCTCTGGCTTTGCACCGAGGGGAATAATAAAGGCGACCTAGATCAGAGTTAGCCATAAAGATCCCCCACGCATCCAACTTCAACTTACCTGCATGAAACAAATGCCCACTGTAAAGCAAACACTCAAGTAATGACGGTGAGACCATTTGACAGGTAAGACGGCGTAGGAAACCAACAAGAAGACACATAGAGGGAGAATGGCGACACTGATCCAACTCGTGACGGCGATTTTATCGGCCAAGTCTATACAAGTTAAAACTTTAGAACGGACCTGATAATCAACCAAACTCACCAGTCTCATATCTCCATTCGGCAAGAGGACATGGTAAGCAACAGGATAAGGAGCTGTTGCCCAAGGGGATAGTCTCGCAATAGCGGCCATCGATAAAACCCCCGTCGGTGGGAAATAGCGCCTCCTCTAAGAAGGGAGACGGGCAGTGTCCAGTTAGGGCGTGCACCATGATGGCGAGAAATGCATATCCTGCACAAATCCCTAACGCGCCAGCGCGATATAAAGGAATATAGTATATATGTGATTAAGAAAGAGTGTGTGTGTAAGAGGAAGGATAAATGGGGATATGTGTTCTTGTATGTACTCCCCGTACTCCGTCCCGTACTACAAACCGTTCCCCACCGGCACACGAGGCCCCCGCTAAATCCCTACCCACGGTCCCCTAAAACTCAATTCCATCTTGGCAAGTCAATTTAGCGGGGAATAAAATACAGTACAATACAGATTTGAAAATAACCGAGTAAATTAAAAAAATGCCCATGATGCAACTCTTATATGTACGGTACGGCCTTAAATGCTCTGGATTTAACTAGTACACTATATTATCATATACTCCGTCCTCTAGTTAGGTCAAATATATTGTATACGGAGTAACTAGATCCATAATTAATATAATTTATCAGCCTCGGTTTTCTGTACTTGGCTTTCCAAGCGTGGTTAGTTCCTTTTGACCTTTCAGCCCACAATGACAATGTTGTTTAATATGTCCAATCTAGATTCAATAGATCTAGGCACTCATCTAAATAGTTCCAAATTACTCCATACACAGCTGACAGGCACACCCGAGAGCAACTGTCCAGCCCCAAGCTGACAGTGTGCCAAGTACTTGCCTCGCCCTGATTCGATTGCATTTTTACCCCTGGAGATCAAATTCTGTCGACGCTCGCACAGACTGGCCAGTGTCACCTACAATGGTATTTCTTCCCGAGAACCCACGCGGTAATCCACCCAATCGTTACCACTAACCCGTCTCTCGCTGTGATCACCGCCAGCATTCGTTGTTCATGAGTCCAATCAAATGGGTCATAGAGGATAATATGATATATGTTGTATGTAGGAGGATGGAGTACACTATCGACAATTATCTAAAAGGCCTGGAATCCTTTAAATCTCATGGGGTAGATCAGCTGACCATTTCACTATACCATACGTAATCTACCCCCGTCGGGGGGATAGTCGAACATCCATGTTCTTGATATGTAGGGAGCAGGGAGTACATGTACTTCATGGATGCTCAGGCCACACCGACATCCTATGATCATCGCATTTAACGCTAAGCAGAACCCCTAACCCTTAAACCAGTCACTAGTTAAGTGGTTAACTCTTAGCTTGATAATTCGGTCTTTTCTATGTTGTATCAAGATCATCAATTTGTGAGTCATATGTAACGCAACACAAGCACAGTCTAAGGATGGCACCAAATTTTAGAGCCCTGATAGTTCTCCCATCACCTTGATTCTATCCTGCTTTCCAATTACCAGGGCTCTTCCTACGATATCTGTCTTTTGTGTATGGGGTATGGAGTACCTAGATATATATCTGTAGCTCTAAGCTTGAGGCTATCAACATGACTCGCCACTCGTCCCCTCACATCAGCCCACACTTACAGTCAATCCTGTACCCCACAAGATAGCATGAAATGAAATAACATGTGCCAATTCCCAGTCCTATTCCTAAGAGCAAATGCGGAGTAAACCACTCAATATGTAGTACTCCAATCCCCAATGTGTCTATACAAAAGATCAGCGCTAAGACCACGGGAACCAAAGACCTAAAAATATAGCGACACCCATCCCTAAATTTGAAGCTTCCAATCTAAAATCCAAAAACCAAAATCAAGACTCCAACTTCCCCACTCAAATCCAAGACTCTAAATTCCAACTATTATAAACCCCGGAACATCCCCGACAATCCCATAAACCCCGAGACCATCTCCCCCGCCAAACTTGCCCCCCGAATCCGAAAATCACACTCTACGGGATAACCGGTACTGGTAACCCGAGATATTCTCGTACCGGGGTAGATCCTGAATAATGTCGGGATCTAGGGAGCGTGGGGTTCGGATAAGTTGCCCCCAAGAAGGGTAAATCAGTGGGGGGGGGGGCACGCTTGGAAGTGGATTCGGTGACATCCTCAACGGAAAACCTGCGATGTTGAGGGGTTATCTACTGCACAGGTCGGTGAGTTTCTATGAGATTTCTATAGAGAGAGGATGATATTTAGGTGTTGGGTATTTATTATTTGTTATAGGGTTGTCTAGTTGAAAGTAAAGTGATCAAGTAGGTAGGTAGTAATGACCGAATCTAGAAAAGAATCAGGAATGTAGGATAATATGGATAATGTAGGGTTTCTCTGCAGAACTTGGCAACTCAACCGAAGAAGAATCAAAAAGTTCTTCAGACCCTAAATTTGAGATTTTGTCCGCCCACTTTATGGTACATTATATTCCGTACATCTGCACTATACTGATTACTATAAGTCCATGGGTATCTTGATCATTACTCATGTATCCGGCAGCTCCTTGACTTCCAGTCGCCTGTCGCTTGAGCTATTCCTCGTGGGGTGACAGGACTGTCCCGACACAAGCCGGTGCATTACTCTACCGTTCACCCCGCCATTCCATCTCCAATTTAGGTCCAAGAGGGACCAGGTTCTATACGATGGCTGACCCCGCAACCCCTCAACCCCGGACGCTATGGCCGCTAGGCTGAAAAGCTTATCTTGAAGATATCTTCAAGCATCAGGAACTAGAACCAGGCGACAAGGTCGAATCCTCATCCCACCCCCACTCCTTCAGCAATTGTTGCACACGGTACTCAGTCGCCCAGCCCAGATCCGACTCGATACTCCTCAGAAGACGCACCGTAGTGCGACGCTCACGCGGGTCAGTGAGACACTGCCCACTAACAAAGAGCGGCTGCAGCGAGTTGATCCTGACGCTTCCATCCGGGCGGGAGAGACCGATACCCACGATCTCGCGGCTGTGGAAGGCGATCTCAGACTCGATAGAGCGGTATGACTGGAGCCGGAGCGTGATGGTACTCCGACGACTAGTGGACTCGTGCGGCTTATTGATGAGCAGCAAGATCCGCGCCATGTGATAGTGCTGCATGGCGGAGGCGCACATGGGTAGGCTGTACCAGATTTCTTGGAGGGTGGAGATGTCTTCGTTTTCGTTGGACGGGCGATGGTGTGCGAGTTTATGTGAGTCTATTCGTGCACATGGCCGGAATGTCTCTGGAATTCCGGTGTACCATGCGTCGAGCTCGGATTCAAGCCTGTACCACCGTTCTAGCAGGACTTGCTGCGAGACGCCTAGGGGCCCTGGGACGGATCCAGAGCTTATGAAATTGACTATCTTGGATATTATCCAGACTAGCCCGTTGCTGATTAGGTCTTCTTTCATTATGTCTTCGCCTTCCGGGTATCCTGCTGCGCCTGTATTGCTGGCGCGGAGATAGCCCGCGTTGTCGAGGAGTAGACCTGCTTCGGTCCAGAGGACCGTATCATCTGTGTTCAGTCTTGTATGGCTTTCATTGATGACTTCTGCCTGTTAGCGGGGTTTGGGAGGGGGTCATTCAGTGAGATAACACTTACAGGCAGCTAAATAGTCCTGCCGCGCGAAATTCCAAAACGTCGCCTTCCGAGCCTTGGAAAGACCTGACTTCTTAGGCGTCTGGGTCGGATATGAGTTCTCCCCTGGGGATGGACGCTGCTCAAGAGGCATCATGCCCACCTCAGCGACATCAAGCAACGACTTCACGCCACTCAAATGACGATTCCATGCAGGACCTGCGGCATCGAGGAACTCATACACGGACAAAATGGCCGTCGCCGCGAGCACCTCATCAGAATGTACTCCATGCGAGAGCCGACTATCAGAAACCCGTCTGCGGCGCTTACGTGGGTTATCCGTATCTACAGAAAGCTCGGAGGCCTGCCATTGACCAAAAGCCTCGGGCGTGCTCAATGGAGGTGGACCCTCTGCGTCAGGTTGCAGTTCCTTCATTAACAACTGGATGGCCTTTTCATAATATTTGGCCCCGTACCATGCGAAGTCGGGGTCTTTGTCAGGCCACAATTCCATGGCAGCCTGCTGGGTGCACACTCCGCCCACCGGAGCCTTGGCACCTTTCACTCGACCCAGCTGTTTGGCGGAATATGCGCAGGCAGCGAATTTCAAAAGCGGGTTGGTTCTTGCTCGTACTGGGACGTATGAAGCGAAATATGTCCCTAGATCAAAGAGATCCATCCTGCAGTTACCATGGTCAGTAGTCATGGTTCCACGCCAGCAGATGGGAGAAAACATACCACAGTCCCGGTCCTTCTGAGTAATGTCGCAGAAAGAAAGCGGTCTCAAAATCGGTCTCTGAGTTGTCATCTGGTGTGTGATTCATGAGGCCGATGTGGCTCATATGGCTCATATGGCTCATGCTCCTCTGTAAAGCTGCCGGTCTTGATGGAAGGGGGGTATGGCGGTCAGAGAGCTGAATGATTGGGTCGATGGAGGGGGACATCGAATGCGAGGGGTTGAGGAGGAAATTAATATTGGTATTGTTGCTGGTGGACGACAGCGACATGGAGGGCGAAGCTGGGTGCATAGCGGCATTGTGCCGTCGGTTTGGAGAGGTATAGGAGGTATTATCAGAGACGGAGTGGTCTAGGGAAGAATAAGGGAAGCGATCGTGCGTCGCGACCGCCGACAAAGCTTCCAATCCCTGTGTCTCGGCATCGCTAGTTCGAGTGTCTCCACTTCCCCATCTGAGATTTGAGGATTGCGTTTGCGCTGCGCTACTCGGATCTGCCAGTGATGCCTCGAGATCATCGGCGTATGGATCGGAGTTGTCGACAAATATCACTGCAGAGGATATGAGCTACCGTCCAAGAAAAATTCCAGAACCAAACAATATGTCACAGTGTCCTACCATGTTTTGGAACATCCAGCCACACGCTATCCTTGTCAAACGTATTCTTATACGAATAGAACCCGTTGAGACTACCACGACCATCTGGGGAGTTCCGGTTCATCGACGCGTTTTGTTGATGGCGGAAAACCACACCTTCGCTCGGACGACATTCCCGGCCACCTTTGCGACATTGTGAACATTCGGGCTTTTCTTCGTCGCCTATATATTCTTTAGTCAGGCAATGAAATTTTGAAACGAGTTGTATCCCTACATTTAAGCTTTCGTGTCCGACACGTCAAGCTAGGTGGTGTTAGCAATGTACAATACTAGAGCGCATAAAACATACCAGCCGGTTCGTGATCGCATACCGAAATGGCATGAATACAATGCAGTAACAACATCCGCAGAGAAAAGTGGTCGGAGTTGAGGTTGGGGGAATACGAAAACCTGGAGATCGACTTGCGGGGAGAGACCAGGTGACCTGGGGGGCCCCCACACAAACTACCTGACTCAGAGGGCTGTGTAGACGCGTGGCTATTATGTGAACTATACGGAAGTAAATTTGTTATTTTATATAGAACTTATACAAATATAATTAATACGTCTCGATATTTTCATCAGCAAAGGGGTATTGTATTAATTGTGTCCACAAAAGCGTGGCTATCTACATTTCTCCAATCTCCCCAACATCCACTCAACTGATAAATCGCGGGAAAAGCGTATGGTACATCAACAGAGGCATATTCACAATGGAGCTTTCAGGGACTGTATCGGCATGTGCTAGGAGCCAGGAAGGGGAAAAAAGATGAGAAGATAAATCGCGATATGACCGGCGCGAAAACAAACACAGAACAAAACAAAAGACATTAAAGATAGCTGGGTATAGCAACGTTGCTTTCGATAAAAACAAAACAAAAACGCCAGCCTCGAAGCAAATCAGATGGGTTAAATGTTTTTGGAAAGGGACATTAAAGGGCCGGGGCACCGGGGTTGGGCTGGTGCAGCGAATTGAAGAGGTACTCGGGCGGCACGCGCTGCATGTCGGAGGGTCGATCCGTGCCAAAGGTTTGAGGAGCAGCTGCATAGCCCTGGCGGCGGCGCTGTACCTTGTTCAGGATGACACCGGCCAGCACAATGAGGAACACGCAACCAAGAGCACAGCAGAAGGCTACTAAGACTGCGATGCCATTGGAGTGATGTTTTTCTAGGTCGACGGTCAGTATTGATTCCTATCAATTAAAAACGTCAGGTAAACTCACTGTTGGTGGTGTATGGGTTCTTCTTCTCGGAGAAGAATTTCGACATGCTGCCTGGTGTGCCATCGGCCTGCTGGGAAAGGATAAATGGAGTGACATCGGTTCCGTTGTAGAGCGCCGCTGATGCATGTCCGAAGTCGGGGATCACGAGCGAGCCCATGATCAACAACGTCTGCTCGTTCCGCAACAGAGTGGCCTCGGAATGATCGTGGCGGACAGGAAGAAGCTCTAGACCACGAATGACCGTGCCCTCGGAGAACAGATTGCCGGGAGATAGGAACTTGGAACCGTCGTAGCTTAAGAAGAAGGCCGAGCCATTGGCTGCAGTACCTCCGACCCAGAACTTTGACAGATCTGCGCTAGCAGCAGTGAAGGTGGTGACATTACCGGGAAGATCCGAATGGGATGCTCCAGAGAGAGCAGTCCATTTTTCGGATTTCGCGTCGTAGGTAGCAACCGAGGTCTTGTTGCCACCGACGCGAAGGTCGCCCACAGCCATCAGCGTCTGTTCACTGGCCCAGTGAAGGTCAATCACTGCACCACTTAGGGCTGTGCCAAGTCGATCCCAATCACCGGTGGTAGCATCCATATAGCAGATAGAGCCACATGGGAACTGCCCAACGCCCTCGAAGTTTCCTCCAAAGTAGATGTCAGATGAACCTGGTCGATTGACGATAGCATTGACTGCGACATCCGAGCCTGAGAAAGCTGGCTGTGTCCGCGAGAACTCATTGTTGTTTAGGTCGTAAACCACAAGACCTGACAGAGTAGTACGGCCAATGGTTCCGGTGACGTTTCCACCCGCATAGAGGGTGTCGTTGTACACAAGCATTGAAACAAATGTAGCGTTACTGTTGACGCCATGCGGCAGACCTGAGATCTTTGAATCGGTACCGTTGAAGATGGCAATATTTTCAATGGTTGACCCATTGCTAGCAGCGGCAGCGAAATGCCCACCGTAGATGGTGAGATTGCGGCTCGAGTCGTTATCATAGGCACCGGTTATCAGACCAGTGCTCGACTTTTGGCGGTTAACCTTCATTGACAAAGGAATGAGCTGCAAATCATCAGAGTGTAGCAACGACACCGCACCACCAGCGATGATACCATTGGTGGCAAGGTTCCCTGCTAAAATGAGGGTATTGTTGTATGAAGTAACACTTGAGAGTTGACCACCGAATTGCATTTGTGTGACATTGATGTTCTGGAGCCAGTCCTTGTGTGAAGGGACCCAGATGGCGAATCCAGCAACAGATACCGCGGGCTTCCCGTTGAAAGCCATGATTTGATCAAAATCGCCGCTCATGGCAAGGATGGTTTCATTGATAGCTGTTGATGCATTCAACTCAACAGGCCAAATCGAATTGACAGGGCCGTTCAGTCCTGCCCCTAGGGCGGACCACTCTTTGGAAGAGTAGGAGTATGCAGCAACGTGCTCGAGACCCATTGAACCTGCGTCAGAGGTATCGGTGAAGCGACCTCCAACGTACAGGACATTGTCAAGGGTGGCCATTGCTAGTACTGGAGAGTTCAATCCAGAGCCGGGCATTGCTGCGATATTGCCATCCTTAATCGACATGATGTGCTTGATCTTGCTATCGGAGAAGTTACCGGCGACATATGTCACATCATCATGTTCCTTGATGATTGAGATTGCTGCGTTGTGGTCAAGTGAAGTCCCCGCTTTGTTGATGTCCGATTTCGTGAGATCAGATGTTTCGGTCTTGGAAGCCGGGTCATAATCGTAGAGTCCATTGAGGCCGCCAGTACTGGACTTGAGTTCAAATCGGACACGAGACGCCACAATGGTGATATCACCTTGGCCGTCCTTGGCCCGCAGGGTAACTTTCGGTCGGAAGGAGTCACTGTTGGCGTCAACGTACCCCTCATAGACTGTGTCATACTTGTCGTGGCGGTTGGTCTGATAGATGTATGACGGGCCGGGTTGATTAGAGTCAGATCCACTCGACAGGGTAGTCGTGACATTAACAATGCCCCTTGAGTCGCAAGAATTGTCCTGGCTGCAGCCGGGAGTGTATAGCTTGATGGTATAGTTCCCCGATTTCTTCACGTCGGGCTCAAATGTGACGGATGTAGTCGATGCATCAGAACCAGTCACCTTTGCAGAAACATACCCATCCTCGACAGTCCAAGAGCCGGTGCGCGATGACTTGGCGGGGTGTTCAATGCCTGAGCATGTCGGTTCGTTGAATTGGTCGATAGCGTATGTTAGGATTTGATCCTGGAAAACTTCAATGCCATTCAGGCCAGCTCCTTGCCCGTACCAACTAAGAACCTCGATCTGGAGTCCCCGCATACCAACGGGATTAACCATGGTGAATTCTCGGTATGTTTCACTCGTGCTGCTGGAAAGGGGGCAGGACGAGTCACAGCTGGCCTTTTTTCCCGACTCATCGATATATGTCAAATTCATGATACCGTTGTCAGGGAGCGCTCGAAGTAAAAAGTCTTTGGTGCCGCGTCCATCCAAATGAGTGTTGTAAAGGCGGATTTTAGTTGGGAAAAAGTCGAAACCAAGGTCTGCCCTCCAAAATCCTGGCGCATAGTCGTGCAGAAGATAGGTCTTGCCTTTGGCAGCCTCCCCATTCGTCGAACAAATGATGTTACGAGGATCGGAGTAGCCGTCCAAAGGAGAGTCTGCATCGGATGTGACGGTCGCATTTTGAAGGTTAAGAATTTGTCTTTCGTTTGAGGAGCTGCTTTTGTTTCCCAGGGAGTCAAATGATCCTCCAAAGATGATATGGCCATTGTCAGCCTTCAAAATCGAGCTGACTGGGCCATTCAGTCCATTGAACGGGAGATCAGTCCAGCCATCGTCAGGACCCCACGCGACGGCGTTAGTCGCGTTATCGTAGCTGAATTTTCCTCCAACGTAGACGCGGTTAGTGTCCTGGTCACAAGTCACGGCCGATACCGAGCCTGAGAGGCCCGGCAAGGCAATAACTTTGCTGGTATCCGGTTTGAAGAGAGCAGCGCCGGGGGAATGGACTCCGCCCAGACTGGTGAAGTTACCACCGACAAATATCCCCGCGAAAGTTCCATCCTTTTGTGTGAAGGGGCACATAGCCATAATTTGCGCATCGGCGGATGAAAGATTGGTGAGAATGCCGTTCGGTAGCGGGGTGAGAAGGGCTTGGGTGCCATCAGGAATTGATTCGGTCTGTTCCTTATATTGATAGAGGGAGACGCCATCAAAATCACCAGTGATTGATACCCGTCCCAGCGAGGTCAGATCCAGTTCCGGAACGGAGACTGACTCGAATGATAGGGCGTTGAGGGTCGGTAGAAACGCGAGAAGCGAGGGCCAGCCGGCCGCCGCGGGCCCAAACAATGAAGAGATCCTCATTGTCGTGGGAGCGACGACGGGCAAGAAAAGTGTAGTTGTTTGGTTGAAATGGTTGAAGCGAGTGTGGGAAGACTAGACAGGGCTGTGCTGTCCAAGAAATTCAGGGAGGCCGTCAGGCCGCAACGCGTGGAGAAAAGAACGTGATAAAGAATGTGGCATAAAAAAAGAAGTTAGAAGCGAAGGAATGTAAATGAATGTATCATGCTCGAGACCGAAGCCTCACTGCATTTGAGTATCAACGAATGACTGATGAAGTTTGAAGGGAAAGGGGAAGACCCAGTCTTGTTTTTGCGAAATTGAAACAGCGATACTTCAAATTACACCTCCAAAATTAAAAATTACAAGGAGCAACACGCTAATGCACACTACAACTCACAGACAGCCAATGAGAGTGATTGTTCCCAGCCTCCCGTTTAAATAGTGGAGACCTATGAACCGTGGGTGTATGATATCAAAGATGATGTTGCATATTTTATACTACTAATAGTGGAAAGAGAAACAGTATCTATAATTGAGGATTCTGTTAAACCCTTGATTTGAGATGTAGGGTGTAGTCTATAATTATGAGGGCAAGGGGGACTCGGCAGAATGAGAGAGGATCTACCATACGACTAATCTGCCGGTAATGACGATGATATAGAACAGCACTGCCTTTATCCCCTGTGAAGTTATATCCCCTTTGGTTGTAAATCCCTTATATAGATAAAGTGTTCTTTTGTTTATTTCGATGTCCATGATTTACA